AAGCCCCTGCATAAATGTACAGTTCCTAAGCCCTCAAACTGCTTTTATACTGTAGTTTGCTTCATTCACAAAGGCTGTTTTCATTCTATTGTTAGCATGGCTTTGCTAACCTAAGGATGCCCATGCTAGGAATGTTTTGCTCATATATTGCAACATTAAATCATTATTAGTAGTGGATGATAAACCAAAAGGCTTATGCAAGTACAGAAAAGTCTTCTCCCTGTGCAGTGCCAAACAGTTTGACCCTAGAAATTCAGGAAAACAAGTTTTTCTTCTTCTAGCACTGGGTAGGACTGTTTCCAGCTTTAAGATGTAGCATTCCTGTACACCGACAAATCACTTGAACATAACAAGTCCTTTGGTGTTCCAAACACTGGAACAGATTGCCCACAGAAGTTGTGGAATCTTCATCAGTGGAAATATTCAAGAGCCATTTGAATACAATCCTGTGTCATCTGCTCTGGGAATACCCTGCTTGAGCAGATGACCTACTGTGGCTCCTTCCAGCCTGACCCATCCTGTGATTCTGTGATTTGTTGCAAATACAGCATTATTTATTATGGTGCATCTCTTTAGAATAGTCACACCATTCTTGATCAAAAACTTTGATCGAAGTGCTTCAAGTTGTGGTCCCCTGGAAATTTATTTCATCCTATTTCTATGTGAAGTTAAACTTTCTCATATTCAATTAACATCATTCTCTAATGTCACATTTAAACAGGGGACAAGAAACAGGGATTTAGTTGTTCCTTCAGCTTCTCTCACAACACTAGATTGCTTTCAGTATCTGAGAAGGTGCAGGTGATCAACCATAAATGCAGATGGATTTACTCCTGAAAAGAGAGTAGTAAACCATATATCACTAGAGTGATTGAGTATCCTTCAAGCTAGACTCCTGTAAGGGCTGTATTTAGAGATATGCTTGAAAAATCTCTCAGAAACCATTAAATGTAGATGTCTACAGTTTAAAGGTAGTGGGCTGAAGTGTCTTATAGTATAGTTCTTCATGCTGTCCAGTTTTTGTAATGAGATATAAAATACTGTGTGTAAGAAAAAAAAAATTATTATGATTTGTCTCACTCCTTCTCCTTTGCCTCAGGCTAACAATTAAAATAATAAACTGTACTTTGAGGACTGGTACTCAGTACTAATGGACTAAAAAATAACTAAGCCCAAAATAGGGCTTAGGGCAGAGAGAAACCTTCCTTCCTCCTCTGAACTACTGGTCAACTCTTCACAGAGTTGTGGTATCACAGAATATGCTGAGTTGGAAGGGACCCACAACTATAATTGAGTCCAACTCCTGGCAGTGCACAGGACCATCCCCAAGAACTACTGTGTCCTGGAGAACATTGTCCAAACACTTCCCTGGGGAGCCTGTGCCAGTACCGTTGTGGGCACTCAACCCAGTGAAGAAACTTCTGATATCCAACCCTAATCTAACCCTCCCCGACAACTTCAGGCTATTCCCTCAGGCCATGGACCCTCACTGCTCACCAGAGAGATCAGTGTCTGCCCCTCCTCTTCCCCTCACAAGGATGTTGAAGACTGCAGTAAGGTCTCCTCTCTGTCTCCTCCACGCCAAACAGACCAAGTGACCTCAACTGCTTCTCATACAGCTTCCCCTCAGGACACTTCACCATCTTTGTTGCCCTCATTTAGACACTCTCTAGTAGTTTAATGTCTTTATTATATTGTGGCACCCAAGACTGCCCCCAGCACTGGAGGTGAGGCCACCCCAGCTCAGAGCAGAGCGGGACAATCCCCTCCCTTGCCCAGCTGGCCATGCTGTGCCTGATGTCCTCCAGGGCAGGGTTGGCCCTCCTGGCTGCCAGGGCACTGCTGGCTCATGTTCCACTTGCCATCAACCCCCAGCTCTCTTTCCACAGCGCTGCTTTCCAGCCTCTCATTCCTCAGTCTGTCCGTGCATCCAGGGTTGCCCCATCCCAGATGCAGAGTCCAGCACTTTCCCTCATTGAACTTCATATGGTTGGTGACTGCTCAGTGCTCTGATTTGTCAAGGTCTCTGCTGGGCCTCCCTGCTTCGAGGGAGTCAACAGCTCCTCTCAGTTCTGTATTATCTGTGACTTTGCTCAGTATCCCAGTCCTGCACCCAAGTAATTTATGAAGATGTTGAAGAGCACAGGGCTGAAGATGGAGCCCTGTGGAACTCCACTGGTGACAGGTCACCAGTCCGATGTCACCCATTCCCTATAACCCTTTGTGCCTGAGTGGTGAGCCAGTGGCTCACCCATGGCATGATGTGTTTATCCAGCTGTGTGCCTGACCTTTTGTCCAGAAGGATACAATGAGAGACAGTATTGAATGCTTTACTGAAATTCAAAAAGATTACATCAACTGGCTTCCCTTGACCAGCTAGATCGATTATTACTTTGTCATACAAGGAAATCGGGTTTAATAAGCAGGACTTTCCTCTCATGAAGCTGTGCTGGTCACAGTCCTGCTTATCAAACCTGACTTCCTTGTATGACAAGGAAGCCTATCTTATGGGCAAAGCATTTAGGTCATAGAATACCTGTGTCAAGGACAGAGTGGCCCAGCACCAGCCATACCAGACCTGGTCTATCCACATGGTGTCCCACTTCAGGTTGTGTGCCACACTACCCAAATTTGTCACTGCCTGGAGTTTCACCAGTATCTCATGGCCTGAGAAATGGGAAGTTGACAGCAGCTGGGCATGCTTGTTGTGTCTTCTTTTACAAAAGCCTGATCCTTCTGATTATCATGGCCCTTTGGAGTCAGGAACTTTCTGAAATACCAGACGATCTTTTTGGCTTGGCACCAACAGTCAAGGTGTTTATTTATACCATGGGTAATGCTAACAGAGGTAGACTTGGTGCCTTGAAAATTTCTGTAATGTAATTCCATAATGCTTATAGGGGACACTAATATGCTGCTTAAATTCTTGCAGCACACAACCCCCGGAGCTCGGAGCCAGTGCGGCAGATGTACAGGAAGAAGCTGTTGCAGTTCGTGGAGCACTGCCAACTCATCCCCTACCTGGGGACTGCCATGGCAGGCCTGTATAAGGAGCCAAGAGATCGGCCCCCTGGCTTTGATGACAGGCTGCAGACTTTTCTTTCTCTGAAAGGCACCCGTCCCACTTTTGTGTGAACCCTGTATTTCCACTGATTAGCACATGGAGTGTTGCCATCAGGCACCAGCATGGCTGCAACATGGCCCGTGAACATCACACGCTCCTGGGACAGTTTTTTTAAATCTTCAAATCTTAGAAATAAAATCTTTTGCCTGAAGTTCAGAGATATAAAGCTACTAGAGTGCATCCAAAGAAAGACTGTGACAATAGTGAAGGGCCTTGAGGGGAAGCTGGTTGAGGAGCAGCTGAGGTCACTTGGTCTGTCCAGCCTGGAGGAGACTGAGGGGAGACCTCACTGCGCTTACACCTTCCTTGTGGGGGAAAGAGGAGGAGCAGACACTGATCTCTGCTCTATGGAAACCAGAGACAGCATGCGAGGGACTGGCCTGAAGTAGTGCCAGGGAAGTATTAGTTTAAATATTAGGAAAAGCTTTTCACCCACAGGGTCGTTGGGCACTGGAACAGGCTGCCCAGGGAAGTGGTCACAGCACCAAGCCTGACAGAGTTCAAGAAGCATTTGGCAACACTCTCCGGTACATTATGTGATTTTGAGGGCTCTCCTGGCCAGGACCGGGAGTTGGAACCGAATGATCCCTGCTGCTCCCTTCCCACCCCGGCTGTTCAGTGATTCCGCGGCTCCAAGTCCCGCCCGCCTTGCGCTCGTTGCGGCGGCGCAGGCGCGGTGCCAGCCCCGGCCCGGAA